TTACTCCAATCAACTAAGGTGTCCAGGTCTTTTTGTAAAATATTATGATCTTCACTGGTGAGTATGGGTCTATAAATGACACAATCGTCAGCAAATAGGCGAATTGATGACTTAATATCCGAGGCGATGTCGTTAATATATAGTAAAAACAATGCAGGACCAAGCACGGTTCCCTGGGGCACGCCAGATGTTACCAGTGACGGTCTTGATGATTCTCCGTCTACTACTACTCGTTGATAACGACCGTTAAGGAATTCATTAATCCATAAGTTGGTTTCATTACATATACCATAATATTGCATTTTCACAGAGAGACGCTGATGTGATACTTTATCGAAAGCCTTAGAAAAGTCAAGCACCGCCATATCAACCTGGTGACCAAGATTAACACTACGAGCAATGTCATCTGTAGTTAATAGAAGTTGAGATTCACACGAGCGTTTAGCCCTGAACCCATGTTGGTTTTCATGAAGAATGTTCTGGCTGTCTAAATGGTTCATTACTTGTGAGACTATTATATGTTCAATCATTTTAGAAACAACTGCGGTTAAGCTTACAGGGCGGTAGTTCGATGGTTTGGTTCTGTCGCCTTTTTTGAAAATTGGTACAATGTTAGCGTTTTTCCAGTCCAATGGTACTTCAGATTTATCAATTGACTGTTGGAATAAAGACCGTATAATTGGTGCTATTTCAGTTACACATTCTTTCAATACTATGATAGGTATTTTATCTGGCCCAGGAGCTTTCTTGGGATTAAGTCTGTTAATACACTTAACAACACCATTTAATGTAACGTTTATCTTGGGCATCGAGCGGTATGGCGAAGATCCTTTATTAGGTAGATTGTCCAAAGATTCTTTCGTAAATACTGAACAAAATTGGTTGTTAAGCATTTCTGCCTTATGACTAGCGGATTCGGCGATTTGACCGTTGTTTTTCAATGTTCCAATGTTCACGCTGTCTTGTTTACGAGACTTTATATATTTCCAAAAGGATTTCGAAGATTTATCATTTTCTGGATCTAGAAGATTACTGATGTAATTGTAGTAGGAAGTATGTAATTTATTCCTTACAGTTTTGCGAAGGTCACTAAATGTTTTATAGTCACTTGCGTTATTACTTTTTCTTGCAATGTTATATAAGTAGCGTTTTTTCTTAATAAGCCGTTTGATATTCTTTGATAACCACGGTATGTCCGATTTCCCTTTTACAGTTTTTTTCGGTATATATTGTTCCATTGATTCTAATAATATTTGTTTAAAATTGTTCCAGTTTACATCAACTGTGTTGTTATGCATATTACGCAGAAACTCGTGTTGAAATGATAGCACACGGTCTTTAATTTTCCGCCAGTCCGCTTTTCTATAATTAAACACGGTTCTCGGCGGTAGTTTGTTAATAACCGGTTTGATAAATGTTGTTACAGATAAGATATCATGGTCACTAAGCCCGATAGGTGGTCCGACTACGTGTCGTTGTATGAGTGTTGGATGGCTCGTAAAGAATAAGTCTAAAATCCTACCCTTACGTGTAGGGGTTCTGTTAATTTGTTCAATAAAACTGGTTGAAGTTATATCGATTAATTTATCACAAAAAGTCTTATCCCTAGCATTTGGCAATGTACATCCATTATCCCAGTCCACGTCTCCGAGGTTGAAATCACCCCCTAGAAATTTCTTCATATTTTTGTATGGAGAAGTACAGTTCGCTTTTAATAGTGAATTTTCAAGTTCATCTAATGTTTCTAAAGTAGCCTTTGGTTCACGGTAGAAAGATCCAACTAAAACTTGTTCGTTTTTATCGATTTTGATTTTAATCCATTTTATTTCACAGGCAGAGTCTAAATCTGAACATTCCTCAGCTTGTAAGCCAGGTCTAACCATTATAATAACACCACCGCCGCGTTTGTTCACTAATTCTGACCGATCTTTCCTGAATATTTGATATTTGTCAATAGACGGGATATTTGTTGGTAAGAGTTCAGCACTCAAATCCTCACTATTCAAATGCGTTTCAGTGCCTAAGATAACATCCGGCGCTTTACTAGCTATAATGTTGTATAACTCCGTTTTCTTATTACGAATACTCTGGAAATTTATCACTTCAAATTTCAAGTGAGACTTATTAACGTGGAGTGATTTAGAAAGTGAACGAATACTATCCACAGATGGGTTATCACTACTTGATTCAATGTCACCCAAAAATGATGATGTAAGCTCAGATTCAACACTACCGGAATGTGTTGATGTTACGTTAGAAATATGTGAAATGTTACTATCCAGATCGGTAGACGGTAGTAATACGCGCGGTGTTGATGCTACAAACGATAAACTATCTGGTTTCAAGGGACGCGAGATTCTCCTCCGAGGTGGGGACGAAGATAAGTTAATGTTTACTGGTGGTACTGGTTGTGTACTGCTAATTCTAGCAGAGTCTTTCACCAATGGTGAGAAAGTATTTTCTAATAAAAAGTCATCTAAGTCAAAAGAGCACACTCTAGATAGGTTTGGGATGCCACAATCATCCTTTTTACAGATCCAAACTACCTCTGAAATATCAAGGTATGCAAGAGTTTCACTACTGATTTTTGCACAGTTAGCATGGTACCAAGTGTCACAGCAGTCACATTGTACAGCTTTAACATTCCAGGAACCAATATTTTTATTACAAATTCCACAAGGATATTTCAAGGTTTTAGGTCCAGGATTAATTTCTATGTCACCCGACTGGATCAATAATAAACACAATATAAAGTTTGTTCCAACATTGTTTTTAATATAACATGCGCTTCGCCATTTAATGGTTCTTGTAGCAATTGCAAGCTTCATGATACTGGGTTTCGAAGGTTCGATCAATGCCTGGAAGGAATTAGTAGCATTTAGTTCGCTAGACAGAGCTATAACTAGTAAAAATAGTGCTAAACATAGCAAATGTAAAGTTCCCTTGTTCTTCATGGGCGCGGCCATTGTTGCTGCGCAGTGGGATGCGCGCGCTTGTCGATTTTTGGAATCCTGCGCGAAATGATGCGCACTCAAACTAATGTAAAAGTAGGTGGGTGGGATAAGGTGGTCGTAATTTTCACCCAAAATTACACGCAAAAGTTACAACAAATTTCAAAAGTTCCTTTTCCAAATGATACTATCGATCATAATCCACGTTTCCAGCAAGTGTCGTCATCTATCTTGCAGTAATTACCATGAAAGAATTAAATTAAATTAAATTTTGTCGGAGCACATTTTTCGAACGCCTGGTGTCGCACATGACGTCACATCAGTTTTTGACTTTACACATAAACCTATATGAACATTGTGCATGCCAAATAGATTTTCTACTGTGTAGTACTGAAAAAATAGCATATATTAGTGTCTGGCAGGAACATATCTGATATATTTTGTGCCCCCCCCCCCACAGTGTCACATGAAGCCAGTTTATATTTAAACTGTATGGCAATTTGTTGAATATTTCTTCCATATCATATGACATAAGGATATATTTGTGCAAATTAGTTGTATAAATAGTGTGGAACCCATTTTGTCTACACCTTACATTGGGAATTCTTTCTTTTTCTACATGTACTAAAAACAGCGTGCCGAGGGCTGAAAATGGGGCAAACGGTATAGTTCATTAAAGGCACATATAAAGAAAAGCAAACAATTCCTAGCAAAATTAAATCATTTTATTTCTTTCACTTATATTAATAAATATTATTCTCCTCGAATCAACATCCAGTGACGTCACGAAATGGAGTCGGCGACAAACTCAGATCGTGGGAAATAATCAGAAAATGTTGAATTATTTATATATAGCTACGAAATTAAAAAAAGTTATCGGTGGTATTTGATGCATTTATGTATTGTTTATCGAAATGGCCAGATAGATTATTTTGATCCGTTGTTTTGTTGATTTGTTCGGCGTAAATTATGTTCGGGTGGGGAAAAGGCGTTTCATTCCTTGTGTTTTTTATAGTATATACGGGGTATATTTGGATATTATAATTAATATTGGTTATTTGATAGAATTTCAAGTTCCTGTGGATATAGTGACTATTGTGGATTTAAATGACTGGTTGTGTTTAAAATGCATTTTCAGCATGAAATTTGTTTTTGTGACATGTAATATGATCATTGGCAAATTCGAAAACATGGTTAGAAATCACATGCTGATAATAATTGATGTCAAGGTTGCCATTGTTTGTAAACATTGCTTTTAAACAGCATGCTCGGTGAAAACAAGTAATTTTACAGGGGGGTACAAACTTTCAGCAATAGCAAAAAATCTAATAGGCCAAGCACCTATTTCTTTGTGATATTTTGCATGCATAGGGAGTTGCTAAAGCAGTGACAGAGTTTTTGTAGAACGTATATTTGCAGGTATTTTTAGCCGGAGGGACGAAAAATGTTGTTTTGGGTCTCGGACCACTATAGATTTTTGGCTTTTACGGAATGAATTGGAATCTTTTTAACTGCCTGACTGTTGCACATGGGATGATTTCATTACAGATTTGCAATGGTATGACATATATGTTCTTAACAAAATGTGTTTTCTTTTTCCAGGTTGTGTAGTTTGGGATCAGATTTATCAGACATATTGCTTGTAGGACATTGACGGCAGAAACTGGAAATTTAGTGTGGAGTGCTACCTTAAGGAACGAAATAATTGGTTTATAATTTCTACTTTCGTTTTCACCAAACACCTTTTGGTAAATTATCAAATCCCAATAAAATTAGTATAATAAAGTATTCATCAAAATTATGATTTCAGATAACAAAAATGATTAACAAATGCTTAATAAATGGGTGTTGCCTTTCCATTTGAAAATATCTATAATTATTAGCCTAATGAGGGAATTCCCCCCATTTTTCATAATCCACTTTCGTTTTTAATTGTTAACGTTTTGTAATTTGTGTTGGCACATTAGTTATTTCTGTTCCATGAAGTAATCATTTCGTTTTAGTATAAAATGTGTAACATAACGGCTACAAGATTTAAAAGATACTTACATCAATTTCTTCAAATTCTAAGAAAATCTTATCCGGGACTAACCTCCGCCATTATGATATTTTCTTCAATTTTACAGCGCATGCGCGATTCATAAAGGCCTCACAACACTAAATATTGTCCTTCACTTACCAGTAAAATGTATTTTCCCTCTATGGCTATATATATTTCTAATTTTCTAAATGATGAGGCAAAAATAGCATGAAAACTTTGGACTTATAAATAATAGATTTTGTTTTGATTGTTTTTCTATATTAACTAAAAAAACTCAATGGTAAAATGTATTATACTCGTATAATGATTTACATAAAATTATATAGCGTCCGTAAATTTATGTGTTCTTAATGCAATAAAATTAAGTATGATAATGGCCTCAGCATTTTGTTTTGGTTTAAAAATATACAATGTATATTTTACTTTGTTATAAAATAAATCTAATAAAAATGTGATGCTGTTGTTTTACCGGTTCCGAATAGTTGGTTTAAAAAATGTACCTGCTAGCTAGTTGATATTTGATTCGACTTCAAACCTAACAATTATCGGAAAATACATTTTGTATATTATCTTTCTTTTATTAGTAAGAATACTGCTTGATTGAATCTGGTTGGTTTCACCATTTCCGAAGCAAGGTCCGGTGCACATAACGTTACAAATGCCATTTGTAATATTACCTACGTAGAATTTGACTATTTTTGCGAGCTAATACTTAAACTAAGTAAGTACACTGCCAACTTTCAGTCTTATTTATTATTTTAATATTCATTCGGGGTATACATGTATATGGTATTGTAAACTTTAAAGCACCACCATGCTTGGCGTGAGATGAAGCAGAACTGCAATTGAATTGCATGCATTTGATTTTTCTCATTATTTCTGGTAAGTTCTGTTTAAAACAGGGATCGTATACAATGTCCAAGATGAAAATAAGTTTTTATTTGGCAATAATGCTTGAGCAACACTCATTCTAGTCCCATTACTGGTAAATATTTTTATAGATAATCTATGTTTTTAATTATATCCATATTGACAAACATCTTTAGTTTAAATAATATCTGTCAACACTGACACAGACATCCATGTCCATGTTTTGTTTTGCTCTATATTCTGCATTTTATTTCATTATTCAGTTTTCAGGGATAAATGTATATTAATATTACACTACACGTACTTGTTATAAAATAATAACATGGTAGGAAATCTTTAGTAACGACTTTCCTACTATATTATAATGGCCTACAGTAAGTGCATTTTAAATACATGATTTTAATTTAATACATATAACTCAAATATAATGTTGGCACACTTTCTAACATATACTCATTCATATATTTCAACATTAAAGAACTTGTTTTCTGATCAGAAACCTCGGAAACGTTTTCATTTGGGTACAGTCTGATAATAATCCCGTCATCAAAAATACATGTACGTGCTCGGAACTGGTCAAAATAGGTCTCCTTGCTGACAGGTATGAATATCTTTTTGTTTACTTTTTTTGCATATATTTTTGGATGAAGTTGTATGGTAAATAACAACTTTTCCATCGATATATAAAATGTGTCCCTTTCTTTCAGTTTACATTATAGCATGTACCGATAAAAATGCCGATATGGATTTTAGCATTTTTGCGACGGACGCGCCCTCAGGCGCGTTCAGAGCTAAGTCATCTACACATGGGATTTCGTTGGCTACACTCGCGCAATGTGTCCTAAACCAATTAACAGCCCAAGAAATAGTACATGAATTTGATCCTTCAAAACTCCCATACTTTGTCTGGATATCTTAATGTCTTCCATATTTATCCTTTTCAATTTCAAATTAAGTTATCCAAGTTAAAATATGAACGTATATTATTGATAAAAACGTTGTAGTCCCGTAGTATTATTGCGCAATATGCAAATTACTGCTGAAACGATTTACCGCTGTCGAAAAAGTAGGACAGCAAATTATACTTCAATAAAGGTGTAACCTCTGAGTTCCAAGACATTATTAGTAGGAAATAAATATTTCTACATTATACAAAACATTATTATTAACAAATCAAAAGTTTTTCGTGACTCTAGGATAACTCGCGCATTAATAAAAGAAGAACTATTTTCGTGACTCATACCGCGGGTTTAGCTGAATATTCAGCAGTAATTAATATATTAGATACAGTACAATGGCTAGTATAAATATCTATTTTTGAAAATGCATGTAAGACACTTTACCGCCATGTAGTCTTTCATGGTAAGGAAGTTATAATATCAGTTCTACTTCCGATTCTTGTGGTTTGTTTACATATTTTACTAGGTCATGATATGAGTTAACCTTCGCTATTCTAAAAATAGATTCTGCTTCACCTGTTCTGATTTTTGGACAGGCGATTAGGAAGTACACATTAAACATGTAATTAATAAACCAGCGGATTGTAATGCAATACTTTTAGAAATGCTATACAATTGTAAGAAGCAAACAAGTTGAAAATGGAATTTAGTGTGAAGTTGAAAAGGACAACTAAACACTGTAGTGCTTAAGTGACATTTAAATTAAAATAAAAACGATGTGCTCTGGCCTCTACATCTTTACCTTGTAAATAAAAAAATCTAAGAAATACACTATTAATTGCTGATGATTTTAACCAATTTTTTTTTAATGAGACATATCCAAGAGAAATAAAAATACAAATTACTTATATTTTATTGTCTGTATGCCCACTATGATATAACACGAAGCAATTCTAAATAGCATTCTCAAATTTATAATGTATTATGTTTGAAGTTTATTTGCCTGGATTTATTCTAGAAATATTTCGTTGATAGTTTTTTTTTTCTATTTACATATCATTTCTTAGAATAAATCGATAAGGACACTGATTTACAAGTTTGACCAGAGTTTTTAGGCATAAAATTCATTCTGTATTTAAGTGCTTGAAAGTAGAAAATCTGAATTATATCAATTTGGGACACAAAATATATTGCTCTACAAATCTCGAACTTGTATGGAACAAATTTTCTCTGTTATATATTTTGTGTTTTGTTTTCGTTTTGTTTTGTTTTTTCTAAAAGAAGCCTTAATTAATGTCTCTCCGGTTGCATGTCCGTCGCATTCAGTGCTGCAGCACTTTGATTACCTCATGTAGAGTCAATTATCGGACAAAAAATATTAGAAGCTGAAATAGAATAATGACTAAAATATTTATTTGTTAATGTCAATAAACAACAAAACTATTTATTGTGGTTGACATGAATGGCTCGCTTGATTGTTTGGAACTGGTCAATGCGCCGGAGCCGGTCTTGAATCAACTGTATTTCAACTTAACCCATTATACACCGTATTCATGGGCATTTTGTAAAACATTGCTGTTTTTATTGAAAAGCCTCCTGTTACAAATTAAAATTGCTATGAAACTATACAAAATGCTTCAATACTCATTACTGATCAAACTTGGCACAGAGTTGACTTGACCATAGCCTTTGTAACGGCATACTAACTCTTAAATTTCCTGTTACCACGGCAACGATGGGACATCTCAAAATTGCCAACTGATTTCGAAGTGCTTCATCTTCTCAATAATAATAATAATAATAATAATAATAATAATAATAATAATAATAATAATAATAATAATAATAATAATAATAATAAAAATAAACATTTTATTTCATGAATATAACATATAAAGAAATATCAATGAATTGAAATTAAGTCAAAGACTTTTCAGCGTTGGTTACACATTAATTCAGATCGACCTCAGACAATTTTTAGCCTCTTACAAGTCCAAAATTTTCTTGATGGGGCATGGCCGAAAAATGTGATCACTTTTTATAAAACATTCTCAAACGAAAACAAGTGTTTAAGGCCGAAATAGAGTATTATTTCACTGAAATGGGGTGAAATTGGGTGAAAACGACGCGTGTATATGAATTACTGAGTTAACTAGATAAATCTGCATGATTTTGTAGTATCAATTGTTTGTGTTTCAGCCTCAAATAGTATAGCTTGTTATTGGTAAGTTACAGAAATAACAGTAACTATTCCCTGCGGTCTGGAGACCGCAGGGTATTGGTACGCGTTTAACTTTTGAGGCATGGAGGAGCACGTGACCTGTTTGCGGTACATGGAGGAGCATGTGATCTGTAAACCGTACACGATTGGTTAATTGACCTTTTCGAAAACCTGGCTGAATACCGTTTGTCGGTACGTTACGGAATTACCTCTAGGGAATTAGTCAGAATTACACCTAATAAGAACAAAAAACTATTACGCGATATTTCTAATTTTCTATAATTATTTAACCGTTTAAGGTGGAAAAACTTGAATGATGTATTTGAAAATTGTGAACATATTGATAATAAACCCATAATACAACATTATTAAAATAGCGAAAAACGGAATCCCTAAAGAAACCCAGAAACGACAAAATTGAAAACGTTGCAGGCTCAGTCTGATTGAGTCTGTTCATGGAAAGTATTGGTAAGTGCAAGCTACCGCCACGCCCTCTAGCATCGCTAAAGCAAAATTCAACATTTAAACATGAAAACAGCGAAATTTTTAATATAGAAATATCCGCAGATATGCGTTAATACGGCGGATATCATGGAACCTTCATTATGGTATGTTCTTGCTTTCCACGAAAAGCGTCGTATCGTCCCAAAGTAAAACAATGCGTTTGCACTTATAACGAGAAAACGATGGGCGGAACTGAAATAAAATGAAATTTTGAGGGATAAGAGGCTATGCATTAAATTCTTTACACTTCCGGTACTACATATGGATCTCAGAATTGAGCTGTGGTATTAAATTAAGTAAGGTCTGGAGCTTATAGGTGTAAGGGGCAAAATCTACTAGTATGGTTGGATAAACAGTTATTTATTGGTATTAATTAAGTAAGGTCTGGAGCTTATAGGTGTAAGGGGCAAAATCTACTAGTATGGATGGATAACCAGTTATTTATAAAAATCGATAGCAAATAGTACAGATAAACGGAACTTTCTCAAGAGTGGAGCTCCGAAGGGAAATATAATATGACCTGTTTTTATTTTTAATATTTTATAAATGACTTTCCTGAGGCAATATTCTATACTAATAAACTTTTACAGAAGACA